CTTTGGATTGCCCTGCTCCTCCCACTCATGTCCTAACTGCTGGACAGTTTGCCAAGCAACTTACATTTGAATATAAACCAACATAAGATCATATTTGTCTTTCTCATGCTTTCTTTTCCCTGCCATATTCAGTAATCTGGGAATAGCCATTTTAAGGAATTAATTAGGGGAACAGGCCACATAGAGAGACAAGTTTGGGGAATATATAAAGTTTAAGAGTTACTGAACTTGAAACACTGGTGTTTATTCCATAGCTAGAGCAGTCTTGGCGATACATTTTATGGCTCTTCTTCTGTTATTTAACTTGTCATTCACACTATAAGAAACAAATAGAAGGAAAAGGAGAAGCCAAATAACCCTAAACCAAAAGAAAATAAATACTATTTTAAAATATTCCCCAAAGAACAACAATGTATGCACCATAATTCTGAATAGAAACTAAATTTCAAGTGAGAAGCAGTGTGACAGAAATGAAACCTTTTTAGAAAAAAAAGAGAAAGATCTTTTTACTCAAGAGAGTTTCTTGTTGCTGAGCTATGATTTCCATTTAAAACCACTGCTTCTACCTGGGTACTTGGATTTTTAAGTTACAGAATGTGGGAGAACTGAGACAATCTCCTATTTAGGACAAAGTATCATTTGAAAGGTATTAAAATACTTTGGGTAGCCAATTCATAGAGGAAATATTTCTGTCTTGCATTATAAAAGAAATTTGGGGTTGATTGAAAATTTTTCTTATAGAAGAATGATTATATTCCACGTGTCTGTTAACACTTTGAACTCTAGTCATTATGACCAATTTTCCAATCAGAAAACCGAATGGCCGCTGGTTTTGTGTGTATATGTGAGAAGGTCAGAAAGAGAAAGGGAAGATGAGAGAGGCAGGTAAGGCATGAAAAATGGCCTGATTTGAGTGAGGTTCAGAATTGGATGGACATGTCGGAAAGAAATGAGCCATTCTGGTTTTGCTGAACATGGACTTTTTTCATTAAACATGCACGTTTTGAGTATCTGCGTCCTACTGGATGCCAGGGACTCATGGAGAGTAAAACACAAGCCCTGCTCCCAGGGAGCTTAGGTTGAATAGGAGGAGGAAGATCTGCAGTCAAAGACCTTTATAGGGTCAAATGAAGTTATGCACAGTGGGGGGGGGGGTGCAGAGGGAGTGAGGGAGAGAAGTGAGCAAGAGCCATTACTGGTTTCTGCAGGAACGAAGGAGCGAGGCAGGGCAAGCCAGCTTACAGCTCGCTACTTTGAATTGTTTGAGTGGGCTCTGGGATAGAGGCGATCACTCTGGTTGTCTAGTATCTGGCCCTGGTATGATAAAGACAGAGGAAAATATATATATATATATAT